TTTCGAGAGCGGCCTTTTGTGGCGGACGCGATTATAGCGAATCCTCCGAGCCTAGCCCATATTCATTGCGCGCAACGACTAGGAATTCCTCTCCATATTATATTCACGTGAGTCGACCATTTTATATACTAACTTCAATGATATTGAGTACCTAATGAATAATAGGATGCCCTGGTCGCCAACTCAGTCATTTCCCCACCCATTAGCGAATGTTCATTCCCAGAACATCAAGCCGACCATGGCAAACTTCATGTCCTATAACATTGTAGATGTGATGGTATGGGAAGGACTGGGAGATATTCTGAACACACTTCGCAAAAACACCCTATCCCTCGAACCTATGGACACAATGACTGCCTCGAATATACTCCACAAACTACAAGTGCCGCATACTTATCTCTGGTTAGGAGAGTCATCCTGATTAACAAAAAACCATGCTGATATTTGAAACAGGTCTCCTTCGTTACTACCTAAGCCTCCTGACTGGCCTGAGAACATCGATGTCTGTGGCTTTGGCTTCCTCATGCCAGAGAGCAACTACACGCCACCTCCAGAAATCGCTGCATTTCTTGCTTCAGGACCAAAACCAATATATGTCGGATTCGGCTCGATCGTAGTTGACAATCCCGCCAAATTGACAAAGATTATATTCGAAGCCGTCAAAAAAACCGGCCAGCGCGCCCTTGTCTCGAAAGGTTGGGGAAACCTGGGAGCAGACGAAGTGCCGGAAAACATTCTCATGATCGGAAGCTGTCCTCACGATTGGCTCTTTCGGCAAGTTTCATGTGTGATTCATCACGGTGGCGCTGGCACTACCGCAGCAGGTCTCTCCCTGGGTCGACCGACGATAATTGTCCCATTTTTTGGAGACCAGCAATTCTGGGGGAGTATTGTTGCGCGGGCCGGAGCTGGGCCAACACCAATCCCATATAAACGATTGAATATCCAGAACCTCTCAGATGGGATACAGAAAGCGCTGGAGACGAGTACATTGGACAGAGCACAGGCTATTGCCCTGAAAATGCAAGAAGAGTCTGGCGTTCGCCATGGGGTGAGAAGCTTTTATCGAAATCTTGACCCTCAGCTATCCAGATGCGCTATACTCCCGAATCACCCAGCTGCTTGGCATCTCAAACATACTGAAATTAACTTGAGTGCCTTTGCGGCAACGGTTTTGGTGAGATCTGGGAGGCTCAGTCCGGACATGCTCGTGCTGTAAGTATTGTCTAACTAGCGCCACCAAAATTGGCAGGTCTTCCTTTTACTGATTGTTTCCAGTCACCGTCCTATGGAATACGATACATTCATGGACCCCGCTAACCCACTTAGTGCGGGTGCCCAGGTGCTCTTTGGAGCCCTTACGAGCTTCATAGCTGGCTTTGTTGATGTTCCAAGAGAGTTTGGGACTGATGTTGTCACTGCTATTCGCGCAATGAGTCACCCCCACAAAAGTTATAACCGCCGCGCAGCATGTCGAGATGCAGCAGTTTCTGCACTGGATCCAACAACCCCAGCAGACCTGGATGGGAGCGAAGAAACAAGTACCAGTACTAGTACTGAAAATGAGGTCCAGCCATTCCAAATTGAGAATAATGGGCAGGAAGCCGGAGAGAGTCTAGATGAGAGTACACAGGAAGATACCGGTGATGAGAACGATGATGACGATGGAGGAGTCCCGGTCAACGAAATCGATCGAGTTCATAGCAGAGAGCGCAAAAGGTCTCTTCAACTTAAAACGGCAAAACCAATGAGCAGCTCATTGGCACCCTCGAAACCACCCAGATTCGTCTTTTTGCACGAAACTGTGTTGCAAGGAAAGAAGATGTCTAAGAAGTTTGCGAAGGTGGTCTTACGGTTACCAGCCGATTTCTCATTGGGAATGACCAGAGGATTCCACAACGCCCCCAAATTATATCACGATTCAACAGTTACCGAAAACCCCCAAGTAGTCAGTCTTAAAACCGGGTTCACAGCGGCAGGAGAGGTAATATTACCCATACTAGCGGCCCTTCTAGGACCAGTCATACTGATATAAGCGCAGGAGCTCCGAGACGGGTTCTACTACAGTATCAAGGGCATAGGAACTCACCCGCGCGATGGTTTCAAGAAGGAAGGTGCTAAGGGGCTTTTCAAAGGGGTCGGGAAAGCAGTCGGAGGCTTGTTTCTCAAGCCAGCAGCAGGTAAGTAGAAAACGAAGGCAATATTTCCGTGGTCTTCTCTTTTACAAGCTAATTTTATTTTAATAAAAATTAGGGTTATGGGGTATAGCAGGATATCCACTGAGTGGTATACTTCGAGAGATCAACGACTCGCTGGGCAGACATCAGAAATGTATGATTATCCTGGGTCGCATTGCGCAGGGAGTCGAAGAAATGAAAGAGTCCACGGCCCAGGATAGGGCAGAAGTATTCACGACGTGGAAGCAGATTGAACACGACTTGAAAAAGTCGCATAAATGGCACGCGCATCATGGTGGTGTACCTACTAGTACTTCAAGTAGTTAGTATATAGTTCAAGTTATCTACTAGTATTCAAGTTTCAAGCAATGGAGCACTGGCATTCCAGATTCAACCTGAAGTAGGCTACTATTTTCCCAAGAAGTAAATTAAATTCATAAATACTTACATACATTGGGATAAGTGTAAGATGTTAGATGCTTTCTACTATAGTAGTGGGGATGGCAGTGGGACCCGCTCAAAGCGGGAAGGTAATTAATTAGACGCGCTTCGCTTCGCGTCCGAGTCCGCGTTCCAAGCTGTCCCATCATCAACTTGTACCTTTCCCACGCCACCCAAAAATGACACCAAACGAAGACTTCGGCTTCTTGCGGTCTCCCAGGTATGTCAGATCTTGCACTAGCCCTTCTTGGCCTGGGGAAAATTGTCTTCTTGTCCCGCTCGAACTGCAGCTGACCATTGATCGCAATCCGTTTGGACAGCGACGACAACGAAGACTGTGAACAGGTCTACCGTGCTCCCTCCTACTACAACCCTCTTGAAACTTTCAAATTACCCCTCGGCGGCGACCGACACTACAAACAGCAATATGGCGACATGTACTTCTTGCGCCTGGCGAGGCTGAAGCCCGCCGTGGAAGAAGTCGCGATAGCCGCCTGGGATGGACTTACCGTAAGGACACCTGGAATTTGACATAGCAAAGAGATCCGCATTGTTCTGACAACCTCTGGTTTGCGTGAACAGATCGCTGGAGAGCATGCGCGTCGCGTGGATCGAGTCCTGGATGTGCGACAGGGAGAGCTGTGCTGGATGGCCGGCACGGTGTATATGGATATGCCGTTGAAGCCTAATATTCTGGTGGATTTGACAAAAGAGGTGTGTATGACCCCTCCCAGTTCAAATGGACTATCTAACATGTGTCTCAGAACTTCACGTCCGCACCCGCGCCGCGTCCCACCTACACCGATCCTTCAGATCCATCATCCACCCAGATCATGCTGGAAGATGAGTCCGGCCGTCTTCGTCTTACTGGAACGTTCCTTTCTGCTACACATCTGGTCACCGGCGCCATTATTGCGGTTCTCGGGACGGAAAACTCGAACGGAGACTTCGAGGTGATCGATATCAAGGTTCCGGACTTGCCTCTGCAGCCTCCGCGGTGGGAGAGGGATGGTGGTGCCCCAACCGGTACACAAGGCAAAGGCTCAGCGGAGGGAGGTGGCAAGATTGCCTTCGTTAGCGGACTTGGTATCACTGGTACATCAAGCGACACACTCTCCTTGGAGTTGTTGACGGATTATCTTCTGGGATATACGGGGTTGGGAAGTGAAGAGAACGGAATTTCCGCAAATGCTTCAAAAATTACACGACTTGTCATTGCAGGCAACTCACTCGGTGCCCCTGTTAACACCGAACCCGCCCCAGGTTCCAAGCCTATGCAAAAGAAGTACGGATACGACGCCTCTGCGTACAATGCCCTGCCCATCACACAACTCGACAATTTCCTGGCCGAGATCCTTCCCAGTATTCCTGTGACCCTCATGCCCGGCGATCAAGACCCAGCGAACTTTACTCTTCCTCAACAGGGAATCCATCGGGCCATGTTCCCTCAAGCCAGAGCTTACTGCGCGCCTCCAGCACATGGGGATGACAAGCAAGAGCCGGGTTGGTTCGACAGCGTCACAAATCCATGGGAGGGTGATGTGGAAGGATGGCGCCTATGGGGCTGCAGTGGGCAGAACGTTGACGACGTATTGCGATACTTGGATTTTGCCGGAGATGATGAAAACGAAACTGATAGCGCTGAAGCTCGAATGCGAGTCATGGAAGCTATGCTCCGCTGGAGATGCGGTGTTCCCACGGCGCCGGATACACTTTGTATGTCTCATGCTTCTGATTCCACTTCCAAGTCCTCTTTGCTAATCTCTTTCCAGGGTCTTACCCCTTCCAAGAAGTCGACCCGTTCGTACTCGAGGCTTGCCCGCATATCTTTTTCGCAGGCAGCCAGCCAAGCTTCAAAACGACCCTGATCGATGACATGATCCCGCTCCGTCTGGACGGTGGTGATACCGAAATGACCGACACTGGGAATAACTCACCAACCCGAGTACGAGTACTCTCCATCCCGCGTTTCCAGAAAACCGGAGAACTAGTCCTAGTCGATACGGAAACTCTAGAAGTTGAGGTGGTCCGATTTGGTACTTTTGCCGGACAAGAGGAGAAAAAATAGAATGATCGAGCTAGCATGTTACCATTAGCTAATGACACCAAATATATCCCCAATTGATGAATGAACTGGAGTATCAAAGCATAAACTTGAAACTGCGCAGGTGTGTTGGTGATGGCGGCCAAGCACGGACAAATGCCAAGGCCCCACTCCAGCGAAGATTCCGCGGAACCTTGCCTCAACCTCCTCATCTGCTGCTTTTCCAAACCTCCAACAAGTACTAGAAAGAGACCAGAGGGGAATTGAACTCCGATAAATATCCTTAGTAGCATTGGATTGCCGAGGATACCCGATTTCCTCGCAGAATATCCGTCATCATGTTGCTCAACGCCGAGACCGGTACGTACCCCGCCCTTCTGCTCATCCATCTATATGCCCCTTTCACTCCGATTCCATGATCAAACATGGGCTGGCAAGCTTTTATATGTAAGATTTTAACCATCTAATGATATTCTAGCCCTTTTTTCCTCCAAAATCCTTCTAGTCCCATACTCGACATGGCACGTACCCCGCTACCATGAATGGATGCAAGACGAGGTAAATCACCAACAACGAAAAATCCCCAAAAAAGAAAAGAAAACCATTAAGTCGCATCCAGGAAATTCAACAAGCAACCGCTTCAGAACCACTAAGCGTCGAAGAAGAATACGCCATGCAACAAAGCTGGCGCCAAGACGCAGACAAATTAACATTCATCATCTGCCAACCTATATCATCATCATCAGAGCCTGCCTCTCCAGCTGTGTTTACGAAAGAGTCCGACTCTCCTCAAAAAATGGTCGGAGACATCAATCTCTTCCTCCGAGTCGATGACGGAGACGAGGGAGACTCACCGCCACAAATCGTCGGAGAAATCGAGCTCATGATTGCGGAGAAAACTAACCAACGTCGCGGATTCGGGAAGGCGGCTCTACTAGTCTTTATGCGGTATATTATTGAACATCAGACTGAGATTTTGGAAGAGTTCGTGAGCCGGGGTGTTGATGATGCGGAGAGTGTGCGGAAGCTGAGAGATGCTGGGCCGTTAGCTTTTGAATGTTTCAGCGTGAAGATTAGTCAGAATAATTCGCGCAGTTTGGCTTTGTTTGAGGGATTGGGGTTTGTAAGGCTTTCTCCGGAGCCGAATTTCTTTGGAGAGTTTGAGCTGAGGAGGACGGAGTTGGGTGTGCAGGGTATTGTTGGGGAACTTGGGGTTGCTGGCGTTGAGGGTTATGGGAAGGCTTTTTATACACGGAGAGAATAGAGGTACTAGTAGATAAGGCTGGATGTATAGAAATGCTTTGCAATGGATTGTAGATTTCGTTTTTCTGCAACTATCAAAGAGCTTTTGAACGATCCCCTCAAACTAAGCCCAGCTTAGCGATATTCCAAAGACAAAGACATCCAAAAATAAAATGCGGTATTTAACCACTGAACAGAGCAGGACCGGGCATAACATAGTTCGAGATAGTCGAATAGATGTCGACCAGGATACCCTTATCCTCCTCGGTATACAGCTTCGTACCGAGGGTACCCTCAGGATCAGCACTGCCACCACCAGTAACCTTCAAGTTCAAGCACTGGGGGTAATTCTGCGCTCCATCCTTTTGACCAGCAGAGTGGAGGGCGATAATCTCATGGCGCATCACGTAGTTACCAGCAGCGATCGAGTCCGGAATAGTCACCGTCCATTTGTTTCCGGCATTGATCAGCTTATCAGTTGCCCAGCTGCCGGGGACATTGCTGCCATCGATCAGGCCAACGGCTTCAATCTTGAAGAATTCCAGCTTGGTCTTGTCGACGGTGCTGCAGTCGCCGTCGCAGGATGCGAGGTATGTGATGACCGGTCCGTGGTGGGACTCTGGCCACTCGGTCCACTGGATCTCGACGTCGGAACCGGCCTTGACTTCGGCGGAGATGGCGCCGTTTTTGCCGTCTTTGTGACAGATAATGTTTCCGGAGGAATACTCGGTGCCGTCTTCGAAGCCTAGGTCGGTGGCTGTGGTGGACCAGCCAATGCTGTCGGGGGGACTGTCCATGTAGGGGTATTCATTGACGAGGTAGCCCTTGTGGCTGGGATATGTTAATAAGACGTGACTTCAAGTTGGTGGGAATGTTGGAAGCCGACAGTCTGCCGGTGATTTACATACGTTTTGCCATTGGCAACGATGCTCGAGACATAGCCGTGGCCTGCGACCATGGAGGCCGAAGCCAGTAGGGTAGTAAGAGCAGCGATCTTGGAGAGAGCCATTGTTCAGTGATTTGCAGAGAATGAGCGGATTGATTTGATCAAAGTCGATATTTCTGCTGCTTTAAATATTATTTTCCTCACGGTTCATGGTCCCTGATTGTCTTCTCACAATAGTACTCTGGACCCTTGGAGACTCCATTCTGATACTGGAATAGTCTCATGGATATTATCCGGAGCAGTTTGATGTCTTTGTATGAAGTAGCCAAGTGTTTCATACCTCCTGTCAAGGGTGGGTCCTTGGTCCACATCTGCCGGTGTTATGCAGATCAGTCTGTTGATTAATTCGTGCTGCGAAATACGAAGCTCTGTTATGTCACGAATAGAATCGAACCAACGGGAGAATGACTAGAAGGTTTGAATTAACGAGGAGGCATGGATCGCCTATGTGGTTGCATACTAAGGCAGGTAAAAAGGGAAATCCGGGGAAATGGTCCGACGGCATCAGACGTTGGATAAAAAAATATTATGCCAAGAAGGGGATGCGACATGCCAAGCAGGATGAGGATGCGGTAAACAGCTCCATTGCCGTGACATGAAGAGCAATGATCAACATGTTTCACCCTGTGCACGGTCTTTGATTTAACAGGATTTAAGCATATACCACTTGACTTTTATCGTACTCGTGTTCTGTTTCCATGCTTCCCCTTGACCGTTTGATCGGTGAATACGATAGACCGCATGTTCAGAGGTGTCGTTTCAACATATACTCCTAGTACTAGCTATTGTAGTTAATTCGAAAAGTTCCTTACGAGAATTGTTTCGATTACTATGATTATCAATATCGTAATATACTTTCCATGGTTGACAGTTATTTTATGCTATTTGCTGGATGCTAGTATTGAGTCAAGCTCAGCTAGTACTTAGGTAGTACTATTGTATCAATACTTGCTCAGGTGTACTTTTTCACTTAATACACTTCACTTACTAGGTACTAATACTAGACTGCGTGACGAGTACAGTGCCCAGACTGCCCGATATATATACAGTATCAGGTATAGGGGTCTCGGTACATGATCAAATAAACAGAGCACTTGAAGTGATATATTGTCCGAGTTTATGATTTAATTCCTTAATATATTTAATTGGAAATAATAACAAATGAGACACTCAAACCCGATGATAAGAGTAAAGCTTGCTCTCCAAATACTCAAACCCCAATTGTTTCGCCATAAGAACCGCATCGAAATGTTCTGCGCTGGCCTGTGCTTTGGTAAGTACCTTCATCGGAAGACCAGTGTTAAAAAAGACCCTAGATATTGCAAGACACTTCCGCACAGCTATCTGCTCATGTTCGTCTCTGAAACGATCCAAGTCTTTCTGGTTCATATCTGAGCGAACGGACTGTTTCATCACCGCTTCTTTCAACCCGAGGGCAATATTCTTAAAGAGCAGCGCAGCCACATAGAAATTATCCTTGTCCGGCCCTGGCCCAAGAAGAATTTCCTCGAGCATAACTTCGCTCTCGGGTGATGTGTGATTTGCGACAATCCGCAACAGTCTCTCGATTGCCATCCTGTAGGAAACGATTTCCACCAGTTGAAACTTGGCAAAAAGCCATCTAAAGGAATCCAGTCTGTTAGCCCAAACAGCATGATCGATCGGCATTGCACCCCGGAGACTACCAGAAAAGATGAGGTGTGTGGGGCTATATTTATACAAGTATTTCATAAATTCAGGCCCGTTGTGCACGGCAGCGTGCCAGGCGCCTAGTGAATGACGGGAAGAGGTACTGCTGTATAATGTCCGCTCCCACAACTTGATACCTAGATGTGTTAGCCACTCCCCCGTACGAGGGGTGATATACTTGCAAAGCATGTCTTTCTCCCTAGAAGTGAAAGCGTATGCCAACGCACTAGGCCTGCTAACCTGGAGAACGATGGGCGCCACTAAATCAAGGACCTTCTCAGCGAATACCGGGTCCTGCTGATATGCCAGCATCCCGAGGATGGTGGGCCCTGATTCTACGCAGTTTGCACCGGACATCAGTACGAGACTGGGTGGGTCGTACCCAGATGGACTGCAAGCTGAGAGAAAGAACCGTTGTAGCATTCTGTAAGAGCCGGATCGGATGGCGATGCTGATGAATGTCCATCCGCTCTCGTTACAGCCTGTGTCAGCTGATCCGAGACCGTCAATGCTTCTGCAAAGAGCGTCGAAACATTCGGGGCAGTCGTCGACAATGATATCGGTGATTATGTCGCTTCCTGGGTGCTCTTTTGTGGCGGTAGGGCTTATTTGTGAGCTTGAAGGGTCAAATAGCGCCATAAATGCCTCTGGGTGACATTGATACCACTTGACACAGCGAGGATCTTTCTGATCAAAGAGTTGCTGTCGAAGGTAAGTTAGTATAAGGTCGCTCTGCATATACGAGGTGACCATCGCTCTCGTATGTTTGCTTGCTGCGCGAAGACTGAGCAGGCCATGTAAACTTCCATGGGTTAGTCGGTCGGTTTGGCCGATTAGTACTTGGTCGAGGAGGTTATAGACTAGTTCCAGGGGTAACTTCGCCATTGTACCTGGTAGCCAGGTTGAGAATTGAGGAGGTTGCGCGGTCCTAACGTGAGAAGCATTGCTCTGGGTTGACAGCCAATCCGTGGTGTTGGAGGGGCTATGGGGGTAATTGGGCTTGTATCCTGGCGCGTAGGTATCGAGCCGGCTAAGATCGATGGAATCCATGATGGTGAGTATGCAAGGTCGCAATGAACGTGGCTGGCTGGCAAACAGCGTTTTGATGGGCACCGAGGCCAGCTTTATGCAAACACAGTCTTTGTGTCAAGCCATGAACTTGAAGCAACTAAGACATTCATGCTCTTCTTGTACTTTCAACGGCAGTACAAAGGCGACAATGGAGCACTTACCTTGTAACATTGCGAACAAAGAGTCAAGCGAATCGGCTCGAATGATATATTTGTCGAGAACCATGGTCGAGATGTACAAGGTATTATCAGGTGAAGGGAATCGAAGGGATGTGAGAAAGCTTTGTTTCAATAAAGCCCTTTTGAGCATTCAGCCCGGCGCCACCAGCGCCACATACGATATCGGGCGGACAATGCCTTTCTACTCATGAAAGTCGAGATTACCTCAATCATAGTGCAAACTACGACAGGCTCTACATCTACAACAGGTGCATAGAGATACAAGGAGGAAGGTGATGGATAAAAACTGCCTCGGCGCATACGCGAAAGGCCAGGTAAAAAAATCCAGCTAAGGATGTTTCAACTGTTTTTTGTTTGATTGTGTAAAGGGACCGCAAAAAAGCTCCGACGAAAGCATTTCCTCGAGTGCGTCCGAAAGCGAGTCGTCTCGATCAATGAGAAATTCACCTCATCAGTCAAGTCGCGGGGAATTGAAACCACCATAGCACAGATACATCTGGCGACAGGAAGCCATCCATCCCCGTGTCGGCTCGTAGAGAGATCATGTCCGGTTCGGGTAATCCTCCAACAGTTGGCATTGTATGCATCAACAACCAATCGCACCGCACTCCGATCCTCTGTTTATTCCATGTTTAATGGATTTACAGGGACTTCTTCTTGTCTCCCTTGGAGACGTCGACGACCTTGAGGGCTGGAGAGAAGGAGAAGAAGTTAGTAGAAGCTTCAATTGCGATGGGGAAGTCTGAGCAAGGTGTTGAGTATATCAAGCTTCCTCATGAACAGCTTCAATTGAGGTAGTTGATATGTTTTGACGTGTTTTGGGAAATCGCGGGGAACGGAATGTGTGGGGATGACGTACAAGGAGGCAGGGACTGCTTGAGCTTGTCGGCCTTGTCGGACTCCTTGAGGACAAGGGTGTACAGGTTGCGGTGGCAGCGAACCTTGAACTTGACCTGCTGGGACTTGCGGTTGCGCTTGATGCGGGCAGCTAAAGTGAAAGGAAGTGTCAGCGGTTGATCTCCGGGCGATCCACCGAGCTGTCCCATGGGGGAGGTCTCGGGTAGGTAGAGTTGAGACAAAACGTACAGGAGGCGTCCTTGCGGCGGCAGATCTCAATGAACTGCTTGATATCGGAGACTTCGGAAGGCATAATGGCGGTTTGATGCAGGTGATGATGCGATGGAGAGGCTCGAATCACTGACGACAGCGGGAAATTGTGTGGATCAGATTGGGTTTAGGGTTTGCCCGCTTAGCCCTGTGTCACGTGGTGTGGCTGGGGGTGTGGCTGACGGTATCTGGTGTGGCGATTCTATCAAACGGATGGTTGACCCCGTTAACACTGAGAGGAGGATATGGATGAGGATGAGGATGAACGGTTGCCCCAAAGTTGGTGTATGGCTGAGTGGACGGAGAAGACTCTTGCCCAGCTTGATACGGCCCCGGGTTGGAGTTCAAATTCGGGTGTTGACTCGGATGTATGCTGGTGCTCATGCTCCTGGGTATCGGGCGCGTATACGATGGCCTCCGCGGGTCACCATAGTCTGGCCATCGCTGACTCCCTAGCACTGTATCTTGCCGCGAATGTGCCAAAGGTTCCGGGTTGGAGATCAGTGGGATGGTATCCGGGACCATGCCGACTAATTCTCGAGCGTGAAGCGAGGGTGTTTTATTCGAGATCTGCAATCGAACGCGATACCGTCTATAGAAGGCATACCTATCCCATTCCGGAAATTTCAGCCATGTTCTGGAAAGGAAAGAGGGAAAGTCGGAAAGGATAGAACTCACGCTTGGATCGCCGAATGGCCCACGGCGATAATGAATGTGATCGAGGTGAGGAAAAGAACGGCCTCGAGCATGTCAGCCATTGTGGTATACGAGACGACAATAGTGTATAAGTATAGGATGTTGTAGGGAGCGGAGGCGGCAAGATACAGAAGAGAGGTGGTAAGGAGAAGGGAAATCTACTGTGAGGTATTCGAGTCCTACTAATTATACTAGTATGTCATTACGTAGACTTGATAACCTCTAGTGGGTAGAAGTTGCCTTCTAAGGTTACTCGATCACTCCTGTTACTTACAACATTGTTTAGGATTTGGCTGTGACACTAGCAGCAACGGCGGTAATTTTCTGGGGTTGTGGTTGCCAGATCTACAAACCGGACCGCCATTGTACCGCAGTCTACTTAGGATCATAGTGCTCCCCTAATCGACAGTCAGTGTTAAGGGAGAGAATTTAATTGAACGACAAATCCATTAAATAAGCTGTGGTACAATGAAGCAATCCGCTACTAAAATGTTCAAGTTGTTTCTGATTATGGCTCGACGGATTTTTTGAGATTGGCGACCCAGAGCAAGACTCACCATTCTGCAATGATATACCTCGGTATCTGAATTTAATATCCATCGATGGTGTAATGTGTTTTGGATAGGGGCATTTAACTTACGTCGATCTCCCCAACGAGGGCTTTGATATCTCCGCCACGTATCAGCCGTGCCTTTTTTAGTTTCCAAGAATTTCGATGTGGCTTGCCAACCCATGTGTAGAGTTTCAACTTACGATGATGCTTGCAACGAAAACACATACCGCTCCATATATTACGACGAGGGCACCGGACTCTGTATTGTCTACCGTAGGCATTATCCCAGCGTAGACTACCTTGGTATGGTTTATATTATCTGGTGAGTAATCTGGATCTCTAACCCATTATATTTGGCTTTCCTTACAGACAGGGAATTGACCAAATTTCTCCTTGGATAAATAATCTGTGAATCACTGCTACATCAACAACCATGAGAATTAAGAATTCGGATACCTAGAACGTCCGGGGTAAAGCCTGTGGTGCCCCGCTAAAATTGAAGTTGAAGTTGAAGTTGAAGTAAATCATGGAGAAGCCAGGATCCACTGTGGCGGTGGCGGTGAACGACCAACTGGTGAACTGGTCAGTCAACTGTCGACCTGTCCTTTGCTAGTTATTTGCTACTAGTAGCGACTCAGGATAGGCTTCCACGATTCTTAACGTATTAATACCTGAAAACTACCTTCTTCTTTCCTAAACCTCTCTACCTTTCCCCTGAAATAGTCAACACCCCTGGAAATACCATCAACATGGCCCCCACTCAACTGGATCGAGCTCTCAACTCCAAGGTACGCAACCAATTTCTATGAACCGTGACCTCATCCACTCATCAATATTAATGTTCAAATACAGAATTTATTCCTTGGTAAGGCATTATACCATGTGATATATCTCTAATAACAAAAAGGCACCCAAATCTAACACAATTCGACAGGTTTCGCAGGGATGGTGACCGCAGTGGCGGCATGGTCCATCTGGGGCACCGATGTCTTTCCCGCCCAAGATGATCCCCAAGGCAGTCAGTCAATATCTTACCGCACCCGAATGAATTTAACTAACATCCACAGATCCTGAAAACTGGACCGCGGATGAGATGCGAAGATGGCTTCGTGCGGTATGTCCCTATATATCATCACCCACCCAAGGGCAAGGGGCCGTCCAAAGATGTTGTAACATGCAATCTAACAATTCATCACAGAGAGGACTTTTGCCAGATGAGAACGCAACGCGGGAAGAGTTGTTGGAGAGAGTCAAGGCGAATCTGCGCATTCCGCGCACTTCCAAGTCGGCCGCGTCACAGCAATAGTGGATGGCGATCCAAGATATCCTTGTCCTTTTTTTGTTCTTGCTTGCCTTCCCTGATGTGATGTACACACATGAATGATATCCACTGTCCGTTCCATCTTTGAGCAAGTTATGAATTCCCCGCGTCCATTGTATGGTTTTCTCCGTAGTGGCATGGTATCAGCCGGAATTCTCGACTATGACCGTGACCGTAACCTTCGACCTAGCAAGCTCTTCCTCTTCCTCTTATTCTTTGTCGCGCAAGTGCAAGTTCAGCACATATCAAGATCATACCACTAGTCGGAAGTTTTGGCTCTGGATGAGCCACTCCTTGCGGCGCTTGCCCTTATCCGAGGTCGGGTTCGGGATCAGCACAAAAGTTTCGCTGAAGCCACGCTGGGGTAGGTCAGAGCCATCACCGTATCTAACATGACCACTGACCATCACCAAGATGGACATGTCCTTGACGGTCATCTCGGAGGGAGGCTTGGGGCCGTTGGGTGTGATGGAGGGGTATGCGCGGTTGATGATTTGGCAGTCAAACGACTGGGCCTCGTATTTCGCGGTAGGCATCTGATTCGTGAAGATTTCTTGAACAGCAGCTCCGTCTGCTACTTGATTTCCATTGAAGAGGATGGTTGTAGGCTGTGCGGCGTAGTACAGTTCGATTGACGGGCGGTTTGATTGAAGTGCGACGTAGAAGGATTGGACAAATTCGGTAGCGCCTAGGGGAGATAGATCAGTTATAAAGTCCAAAATGGGCTCACGACGAGTCTGACGAACCTTCAGTGGACACTTTGGTCAGGGTATCGTCTGTAGCAGTAGCCATTGCGACGTTGGTTGGTGTAGTTGAGAAAGGGTCGTGGGATCGCAAGAGGCGGGTGTTGGGGGTATATAAATAAAGAAAGTACAGAAAGCAAGAATCAGAAGGGCGTTTTTGACCAAAGGGGCAGTCCTGGCGAAGAAAGGTGGAGGTGTTGGAAGGTGGAATGATGAAAGAGAGTGTCAAGTGAAAGAGAAAAAGATTGCGGAGTGGAGCTTGGACCATCCGGCGATGCGGAATAACATGCGACCCTCCGATGCCTCATTGCTTCTTTCCTCTACAACCATCATGGCCTCCAGAATGCCCCTGCGTTCCCTTTCCAGGGCTACGCAGCTTTTAAATGTCCGACCGTGGACTTGCTCGACTTGCAGAGTTGGCAGTGCTCGGCCTCTACCTCTGCGCCGCGGAGTCGCGACAACTCCGACCACGAACACGAACACGAACACCCCCAAGAAACCATACTATGTCACCACGCCAATTTTCTACGTCAATGCCGGTACAGTTTCCGAGATAAATAACCAGAGCCATTCGAAAAAAGCCGAGTCTAACACTGTCTTCTCTACTAGCACCGCATGTCGGCCATCTATACACCATGGTCATGGCCGATATCTTGAAGCGATGGCAGGTCCTCCTCGGCGACAGCGATGCCCAATTGTTGACCGGCACAGACGAGCATGGAATGAAGGTGAGAATACAACTGGATATACGGATTGCACGTTTGTATCCACTCGTGGGTCATCTATTGACATTATCGGCAGATTCAACGAGCCGCTCTCGAAGCTGGAATGGATACACAAGCATTTTGCGACATGAACTGCCGAACCTTCGAGGTATGTATACCAGTAGCGCTGAGGATGACTCGTATCCTTTCCCGTGCTAATGAAGATAAAAGTCTCTTGCGAAGGCTGCGAACCTTAGCCATGACCATTTTATTCGAACAACAGATCCGGAACATCGCGAGGCTGTCCAATATTTCTGGGTACGTTGGGGGTTTCTGTAGAGTTGGGCGTTGGGCGCTGGGCGCTGGGCAAAGCTAACAGTCACAGGAAATGCTGAAACACCGGGGATATATCTACACCTCCAAGCACGAGGGATGGTATTCGGTCAGCGATGAAACATTCTACCCGCAAACACAAGTACAAAACTCCCTCGATCCATCAACAGGCCGAAAACGCATGGTGTCGATCGAAACAGGAAAAGAGGTTGAGTGGTCGTCTGAAATTAACTATCACTTCCGTCTTTCAGCCTTCAAAGACCGTCTCCTGGAGTTGTATCAGAGACCCGGACCCGACTCCTTCATCACACCCTCGACATATGCAACCGAACTGATCCAGTCGGTTTCTTCCGGGTTGCAAGACTTGTCAATTTCTCGGCCGGCGGAGCGCCTGACCTGGGGTATCCCGGTTCCCGGCGACGATACGCAGACCATCTATGTCTGGTTGGATGCGCTCGTCAATTATCTGACCCGAGCAGGATATCCTTTCCCTCCGGGACAAGAAAAGACATCGATCTGGCCAGCAAATGTTCAAGTAGTCGGAAAGGACATCGTTCGGTAGGCGCGCGCTATGACCCAACCCATCCCGACTTGCAGCTGATCAGCTTAGGTTCCACTGCGTCTATTGGCCTGCCTTCCTCATGGCCCTGGACCTACCCTTGCCCCGGAACGTCCTCGTGCACGGGCATTGGACAATGAATCGCGAGAAAATGTCGAAATCTACAGGCAATGTGGTAAACCCGTTCTTCGCCATTGACCGGTTCGGCGTGGACGGCATGCGATTCTTCCTGGCCTACCAGGGCGGTCTCGCCAACGACGCTGATTACGATAATTCCTTCATCACGCGTGACTACAAGAAATGGCTGCAAGGGGGAATCGGCAATCTCGCCAGTCGCACCATTGGAGTTGCGAAGGGGAAGCTGGGCTCGTATATCCAAGCCGCCACATCTAATAAGCTCCCAGCCCCATCCCCAGCCGATGTGGAACACCAGATCATGCTGGTGCAAGCGCCCCCGAGGGTTGCCGAGCAGATGACCGGCTTGAACCCCCGTGCCGCGCTACAGGAAATTATGAGCATAATCGAGAAGGTATGGAGAATCATTGCCCCTCTCCCCGCACCTAAGACTATCGGAGACAAGTAGTAACTTTTTTTTTTCGCCTCCGATCAGACTAACAAATACTTCCACGCGGCGGAGCCGTGGAAAACACCGGATCCTCAATGGGTTCTCTACAACGTGGCGGAATCACTTCGTATCACCGCTATTCTCCTGCAGCCGTTCATGCCTGGGAAGTCACAGGAACTGCTTGAAATGCTTCGCGTAGACACGTCCAATCCGTCCAAGCGGTCCTTTGCAGCAGCGGTCTATGGCTCGGACCAAGATTACGGTCAGAATGTCCAGAAGGGCTA